TAGTAACGGAACGTTCAGGCCCGGGTTCCAAGTCGACTCGGGGGCCGGCCGCTCAATTTCTGCAGAAATGCTAATTGCAGATTTCAGCCTATCATAGTATAGCTAGCTGCTAGCAATTCAATTAATAATTGCATGACGTACGGTGACTGGGCGCGTCCACATACAAGTCACATCGATTGTCTATCGAAGTTTGGCCTGTACTGTAGGCTTCCGAGTTCCAGGTTCGAGAAGCGACTGTCCGACCGAATCTGGCACAGAGGTGAATTTTTCTCTGAAGTCTATTAGGCTCTTTTAAGGGCCGTCCCCTATACGATGGCGGCCGGGGAGGACGCTCCTGAAATACTTTCAATAGTTATGCATGTTAGGTAACCTATTTACAGTATTGATCGAGTTCAGAAAAAAGCAATCACATGCAGGCGTGCGATTCCACAGTTCCAGCTTTTCTGTCCAAAATTGAACGGGACCTTTGGAATTCCCATGGCCTCTGCAGAAGCACCCAGGCACGTGATCTATATTCTGGAGATGTCTCTCCCGAACAAAAAGGTGGTCGCCCAGTTGACCGCCACGTACAGCCTGTTTCTCCAGCTGACGACACGTGTCAGGTAGGCGGAGCGCCAGATGAACCAGCTCTTGAAGCCCGTCAGTGTGAGGTGGGACAGAGGACCCTGCACCAAGACAAAGCGTCACCCTTTTATCTTCTGCTCTTGTTGTCACTGCACTTTCAGTCCTGATGCATTTGCACCCGGACGGGCTCGGTCATATTTCCATTTGGGCTGGGCTCAAAGCGGATGCAGACGAAAGGGCAGGTGTGAGCTTTAACGAAATCGCTGAGCTCGAATTACTGAAGTCGACCATCTAGAGCGGACGAAACAGGCGGAACAGGCGGAGAGAAATTTCGGTGAACGCAAGTACCCAAAGGTCACGAAGCTCGCTCTAGGATCTGCGGAACGGAGCTGATGATTCCATTTGCAAAAGTCGGTGACAACTGCATGCGCAAGTAGCTGACTCGGCGCAGTTGGATGCCCCTCGTCTTTAAGGCTGAGACCAGGACTATGGCACCGGATTTCCTTCTGGCGGACAAGAGATCAAGCAGCGTCAAAGCAGCTAGGTTCAAACAGCTTGCGAGCAATTAAAAAAGCCAGACATGGATCGAGGAAGAAGCTCCGCCAACCGTGAAGGGTCCGTTTGCTGCCCTGCTTGGGAGGGCTTTACGAAAAACGTGTTGCGATTGCGGGCGGCGTGAGCAAAACAACTTAAAAGGCTTTACGGATGCTTGGAGGTTCTTTCAAATACTCTGAGCCGGCAGGGAGAAATCCAAAATCACGTACTAACGGGAGCGCGAGGTGAAAGAGGACAGAACTCAAGCTCCCAGAGCGGTCAGGGCAAAAGCGAGCTTGGGCAACAACCAACAAAGCGCGCAAACCAAAGCGCTTGGGCAAAAAACCTGTTAAAAGGCGAGCGGACACGGAAAGAAACGTATCGTCGAACGCCTCCCTTACCTTTGAGCCGTGCCGCAGATCGACGAGCGCTTTGTACGATCCGACCGATGCCATGCTCCCCAGGTGGTGGTACACGAACTCGGCGTGCTCCGTCTGCGGCTGCGCGCCGCCCCGCCGGCCCAGCCCTTGCCGGCCCAAGTCGTTCAGAGCGCGGGCTAAGTACTTGCCCTGCCGCTCAGCCACCTAAAAACAAGCACAGATCGCTGAGAGCTGACATTGCAGATAGATTAGGTGTTGTGACGGTGTCGAGATTGTGCTGGGACTACGGGGCGTGGGAAGACCCGCACGGAATTCTGTGCGGGTTCAGTGAAACGCGCCATAAAGCGCCACGTCAATCCCAAACGCCCCGTCTAGGTCGTCGGAGCTGGTTTTGAGCCCACGGAGGGAGCCGCACGATGAAAGGCACGCGCTCTGGCTCCGTTACAGGAGCAGAACGCCTCTTCTATGCACAAACATTAGCGTTCCTTAGCAAGCGGCCTTCGATGTACAAGTAAAAGTTGCAAGCCTAGGAAAGGAGAAGGGTGAGGGTCCACAACGAGGCCTGCCGCGGGGCGGAGCCGCACCTGTGCTAACGCCGGCAGTTCCGCCAATCCCGTGTTACCGGCGTACCCCGCACAGTCTCCCAAAGCGTACACGTCTTGCGCGCCCACCTGCACGGCCAATACATTTGAAGTTCAAAACGTTTTACATTTTTGAGGCTTCTTTGGATTTTGCAGTCTCTTGTTTACTTTACAAGGAGGGCGTCAAGACCGGTCCCCCTAAGCAACTACATAAGTGAAGCCTCCGGTTTTGCAATTGCCGGATAAAGCACATGTTCGACATCTCATAGAACACTCACTCCGACGGAATGTGTGTCGCTAAGCAGCGTCATTGAGAGACGCCTACAGGGAGATTCTTCCCACCCAAGATGCTCTATCAAAATTTCAGCCCACCCGACCTCCGATACAACGTCAACGTACAGATAAAGAGCGGTGACACAAGGATATTTGATCGGAAACGCGAACTGTTGACCAGCGAAGGATTTTCAAGGACTTCGCAGGCCAGACCCGAACGCAGGACCGGTGCAAAGAACTCGGATTTCGAGAAGGGAACTAATCAGGGTCACAATTTAATTGACGAGGTAGAAGTCATGCGATAGCGGCTCATGAGTCTGGGATAACGCTCTCTTGAAGCTGGGTTTACACACAAGAGTTGGATGAAGGACTGGTGAAGAACTGGTGAGGGAAGGAGAAACGAGCATCGTAAATACAACAGTCCCTGAGTAATTCGTCAACAAACTGCGCAAAAAGAGCACACTGAACGAACGACCATGGTAACTACACAAACCACATTCTGGTCTTGAAATCAGTGGACCCTAGTGGCGTTTGAACGAGCCCACGAGTCAACTACGCACCACTTTGAGCCGAGTGTCTACGGCGAGTCTCCCCCGGGGCGACTTCTCGAACGGTAGCCCCTTCACGAGCTGACTAGGCCCGACCCCGGTGGACCACACCAGGACACCGTAAGGCACCGTCGTGCCGTCGTTGAGCGTGATGTGATTGTCGCTCACCTCCTGTTATGAAAGACCAAACAAGCTGGTAAGTATCTCGCTTAGACAGCAAATTTCACTTCGTCATTTTTTCAGATGTGGAACAACCCCGACAGCAAACGCTAGGGACCCGCGCCGATTTTCAGGGTGAGTTGTTCGTTGTTGACCTCCAGTAACAAGGAAGAGGTTTGGTGAATGCTTTTCGAAGTAGCATTGGCGGCCCTTGACTCCCGCACGGGGTGACAGGTTGTGCCAACCAAAAATGGAGTGCTCATGCTTCACCAAGGACACCACAAGACTCTCACTTTTGAATCGGTTCAGCTTGTGAGGTCATGTTCGATGAGGCACCCCCTGAAACTATAAGTTCTGACCAAAGCTAAGAGTGACGGCATACGGAACAGCGGCTGTGGAAATGCCAACTGTCGCGCTTGCGTCTCCTGTCGAGCACACGCATGCTGCAGAAGGCTCAAATATTTGGTCAAGGTCTGACCCACGCCCTTTCATCGAAATGTGCCTTTGTAGACGAGCAACTGGGACCACACGACAAGGTAGGGACGCCTAAGATTTGTTGGTCCGACAAGAACATACAAGGCACCCGCGAATGCTCGAAGCCTGATCTGACGGCCCGAGAACGTATCTTTTAGCAATTTGACTAGACTGAGTACAAAAGTTCGAGACACGAAGGGGGTATGCGCCTTTTACGATATTGGGACTTTGAAATTTCTCGGGTTTCACGGCACCGTTTCTCACCTTGACCGTCCCTTGCCGCAGCTCCACTCCCGCCCGGCGCAGCTGCGCGGTCGCATACTCGCGCAGCCGAACGTCGAACGTGTTCAGAATCTCCCGAGCCTGCAAAGAGGAGTTTGGATTGGCGGTACTATCGTTCGCGTACGAAGAGTTACAACGCTTCCCGGCGAAACTCGTCCTCAAAAGTCACTGCTTCGTCCTTCTCAAAATAATGCAATTTCTCTCTTCAGCAGTAACTGCACTTAAACTTCGATGGGCTTCATAGTGCGACTTGGTACATTGATTTACGATCCAACGAAGCGTCAAATCCCAAGCCGGTCCATACGAGGCGTTACCATCTAACCCGACCGCTTTGCGTCAACCCCTCAGCCGTTCTTTCTCGCACTTGCAAGCTTCCCCTCAACTTAGCTAGATTCATAGGTTCCCGCGAACTCGTCACCTCGATGAGCGTCACCCTGATGTCATCCTTGACGTGGCTGAACTTGCGCTTCACGTCCGTCCGGATGAAGTCGCTGAGCTCGCCGCTGAACTCGACCCCGGTGGGCCCTCCCCCGACCACCACCACGTGCAACAGCCGCTGCTTCTCCGCCGGGGGAAGGCCCGGCATGTCGCTCTGGACCAGGTTCAAGAGCAGCTTCCGCCGGATCGCCATCGCATCTGCACCGGAACGATGGCTTGTGAACGGATAAGTGAAGGCGGGTGGAGCAGATACAGTTTTGAGAGCTTTGACCTTGTGTCTTTGCGTGCAAAAGGTCTGACAACGGGAGTAAGATCAGGGGAGGTCCGGCATGTCGCTCTGGCCAGATTCGTAGCAGCTTCCGCCGGATCGCCATCGCATCTGCCACCGGAATCATGTTCCGTGTGAGAATTAAACGGTTTTGACTTCTGTCATTGCGAAGGCTCTGGCAACGAGAGGAGAACTGGTCAGTAGCTTTTCCAGCAAAGCGAACCAGGTTCCGCAGCAGCTTCGCCGGATCGTCGGGGCATCTGCCAACGGAATCGGGATCAGGTGAAACAAGGCTTGGAGAGCCGTCAACCTTAGAAAACCCCGACCACTCGGGCTGTCCAAGAAAGACTCCAGCTTCAGTCCGTCAGACGAAGAGCGTTAATTGAGCCAAACTAAAATACTTCACTCCAAACAAGGTACCCAACTCTCTTACCTCCAACCTCGCGTAAGAAGATGGCGTGCTCCCAGACCCCCTTGATCCCAAACGTCGTCGCCTCGGCCCCCGTGGCCACCGCCAGCTTATCATACGCCACGCGAAACGTCCACCGCTCGTCCGGCTTGTCTGTTACCGCCTCGCACAGCACCTACAGGTTAGGGGTTACACTGTATCGGACCGATTCAGCTAATTTTGGAATCCGTCCTAGTCGTTCAGCAGCCCAGTGCTCCTGGTCGTGCGTTTGCTTCTTACTCTCAGCACGGTGCAAGGTGCTCTTTCGCCAGTACCTGAGCTGCTCTTTCCCCTCTTGAGTCGTAGCGAGCTGCAGCCTGCAGCCGGCCCTAGTCCTTTAATGGATTTTCCGCAAGTCGAAGCGACCAAAAGTTTAGGCTACAATCAAGTGACTCTTTGCTCGGTCTTTTTTGTGTAAGATGCACGCTTCTCTTGTAATGGAAGCCTCGCGAAAAAGCGGTTGTCTGCGATGATTGAAGCGTTCGCACACCATATTGTGTTTCGACACCCGCGCTTGATCGAATCGCGTCCCACAGTCAAGCGAGCGGGCGAAATAAACATAGGTCTAGTGCCAGAATTAGCCTTGTCCTGGTTACACTAAGCCGGTCAGGGGCAGAAGGAGAGAAACAAAACCCGCCACAGGTATGCAAACGACCTTGAAGGTGGGCAATGAATCTTAGTGCTTTCGACGCTACCTGGCAACATTCTACCGTCAATCGTCCTTCCACAGAGCATCTAGAAAGATAAATAAGAAACCGGAGGAATGCAGAAAGTGAAAGGGCGAACGTTTGCCTTGGTATCCTCCAACTATTACAAACGCTAGCAATAGACAATTTCACCTCTTGAGACCCTGACCCTAACCAGCTTACGACGTTCTTGACATCACTCCGAACGGCTACAAAAAGCATAATATGAAGTATCGGGGCACCTACAATCTTTGGCAGGGGGAGTGGAATGGGAACCTGTTCTATAGGATGGATTAGAAGTGGTTGATGTTACCTCGTGGTTCTTTTCGTCGACTGCAGTAGCCTTGGCCAGGAAGAAGTAGGAGTCGGGCAGCTTTCCGACCGCCGGCTTGATGGAGCGGATTGGTTCTGCCACGGAACGGAATTCCAGGGTGCCCACGCATGTGCTGGCGAGGAGAGGAGTGAACACCTGCAAACACGTTTAGCAAAGCGGTTCGAACTACAACAGACAGGAATGGCTGATACTTGAAACTATACGGGGAAGGGGCAGAGATAGACTATTATCGTGACACGATCAAAATCTGCAGTATATAGTGCCCAGCTTAGCAAACCATGACGTGTCAGCTTCAAACTTCCAAACGTTACGCACAGCAATGTGGATCAACAGTCGGATCGGAACGTTGTATGGAGCCCAAACGAGCTTCCGACTCTTTGAAGGTTAGCTTCCAACCGGTCCCTATCCAGAGAGAAACGGAGAAGCTTACTGTTCTGTTTTCGAAAGCTTTCGAAAAGGAACTAGATTTCTGCTCACCATGTGGTTCCGAGGTGAGATGACCACAATGTCCCAGTATCGTGTGTCCAAATCTTTCGCCAGCCGGCAACCCCCCCATCCCGTTCCAAGGATTACTAGCCGCGGCTTTTGATTGGCCCTTGTGGGACCGAGGGTGCCGGTCGGCTCTCCTGTGACGCTCTTCTCTGTAGCATTTGCTGCACCCCTATGCTCAGGCTGTATCTCCTGAGCTGGGACTGGCGTGGTGTGAAATGCTGAGACTTGGGAGGGCTGTGTATGAGCTAGGGAAGTTGAGAATTGGTAGGATGAAAAGCGAGAGAGGTAACTCGCGTCTGCTTGTGACACGAACAGTCCTGGTGTGGAGGCAGGAAGTGGACGTGTTGGAGGCTTGAACACAGAGGAACTGGTTGACGGCAAACCGTTTTCTTCGCTTAAAGGTCCAGGGAACGAGCTACAGAAGCTTGTTGACGCCAGCTTGAAAGTCTGGCTGCCTTCAGAGACGCTTGAGTTTTGGAGTGTCATGCGTCTGGGCAGATCTACTTTGCAGAGGTCCATTGCTGGGCCCGCGATCCATCTTGTTGATTGAAGCGCTTGTCTTCCAGTCAGGATGCCCAGCCTGCTGCTGACGGATCGACCTACGCTTTGCATGAGGGCCATTTTAAAATCTGGAAAGTTATAAGCCCTGTTGAGTTTGATCCACAGGGTACTTACATCGCAATCAGCTCTCTGCTCGAAGTTCACATTCCTGCTTTTGAATCAAGCATGGGGGCCACTTGCATGTCTGAGGTATGTATAACCAGATTGGAATGATAAGAGCCCCAGTCGCTGCTTTATCCCAGGTGAATGCAACCTGCAAGAGGAAAACCGAATCGCGTTCAGTGTGGTGTCCTCATGAGGGAGCGTTAGGCCCTTCTTCTATAACAATCAACACTGAGATCTGAAGGTGAACTTAATTGTAGCGATTTGCAAAACAGCACAAAATAGCAACAGTATTTGATCTACTCCAAAGGTTTCCCCTCTTGTTGCATATGGAGCTAGCATAGGGCGCTTGAGAAAGCCGATTCATGCATCAGACTTCTCGATTGATCTGTCACAAGTCATCAGTTGACTCTTCCTCACATCCTCAGAATGGCAACTATAAAGAACTGAAGTAACTCCTTGCCTCAACTGCTTTATTTGTCTTTCTAACAAGCTGCCATCGAGAAGGCAACCTTGCACGCCTCTGCTGCTGTGATTGGAGTCTTCTTGTAGATTGCAAAAGGCTACAATTGAGCTGCCCCAACAATCTAATAATTCTCAACCGCCCGTCAGAACAGGAGCTTTTTATGAACGTATTCACAAAAGCACGCTGGTAGTGACCAGCGTGGGTAGCCTGAGCAAATCAAATGCATGTTAGAGCAAGCCCTCTTCTCGCCAACCACAACCTTCATGAAGGCTGTGCAAGTACTGAAGCAGCACCCAGATCGCTCGCAGTATCGCGAAGGCTGTCAGCAAATTCGAAATTCGAAAGTTCAGAATATAGACTTGCCTTCCTGATGCAGGATGAATCGTCAGCTATGCATGCTGCGGTTTCCGGAGTGCCACAGGCGGAATCACAAGCTGGGAGCTTGCTGTCCCAAGAAGGGCAAGCAGGGAAGGATTGTGCAGCAAGCTCCTTTCAAAGAGGACGGGGCCCGCCAATCTGTCGAGGGAACACCGGCCAGAAGCAATTCTTGAAGCAATTCTTGAGCTGCCATGGAGAAGATTGATGGCGAGGATAGCTGGGCATGCAATGCAGCGATTGATGGATCTTGATTCTTGAGCTTTCTTGCTGAGCTGGTCTTCGTGTGGGGGCACTGTAATGACATCAGCTTTTACGTCAAAGGTACGCACCCCTGAGGAACCTAGCTCGTCCCACCTCGTCCGCTCGATGATTCCAACATAAAAGCAAACCTCCAACGGACGGTCCACAAGCTCCCGGAAAGAAACGTGAGTCAGAAATCCCGTCAACTTGCTCTCCCTTCTAGTTGCAGGGTTTAACACTGCGGAGCGGAAAACCGTCAAACTTGCGTTAGATCAACAATGGCGAAAATCGAGCTGGCATGTCGTCAGAACCGGCAAAATCGACCTGGTTTGTCGGCAAGCTAGTGTCATGTAACTAGTGATAACGGTAAGAGCCGACGGTGCAGAGGATTTTTCTGCGGCAATGGCACCCTGAACTGCAAAAAAGTTACCTGTGCAACTACTAGTTAGTACTAAGTCACAGTGTACTTAGTCTTTGAACCCAGGCTTTGAACAGCCTCTCGTCGATAAACGCATCAATGACAATGGCGCCCTTGAAGCTGGAGTTTATCTCGAGCTAGAAGAAAATGCTAGGAGGCCACTTGTAATTGTTCCATGCAATGCCCAGGTTCATTGCTGCAAACATTTGGCAGTCAATTGGAGAGTGGCATACATGGTGAATCGCACAGAGGAGTTGCCATGCGCGCCGACGCTGTAGCGAGGGGCTTCGAAGCGGCCTCCAAAAGCGCGCATGTTAGTCTCGTCTTTCGGAGATCTTCCTTTCTTACTGGCTTCTCCAGCTTGATTCAATCGTACTGATATGAGGCGCTTTGGCCTTCTAATACCATGGCTCTGGTTGGAGGATTTGTGGTGGATAGACTAAATCCAGATGTCTTATCCACGTTCAGCAGTTTCAATCTGGCAGCAAGTGCAGGCTTCAGCTTGCTCTCAGTAGCCCCAAGGTTTCTCATTCTGGCCTTTGCACTTTTCTGTGAGTAACTGCTAGATGTAAGCTGAAGGATTATGTGCGAATACCACCGGCAGTACAACCATGATAGGTCCGCTTGTTAGTAAGAAGTGGGCAGTCCCCATCTTGATTTTTGTATTGCTATTCACTCTGCAAAGATCACGGCAGAGTTTACTGGCTTTTCACGGTTCGCATCGCCTGTATCTTTGCAGGACTTTAGCAGCAGTTTTGGAAGGCAGTCCAGCGTGTTTTCATCCTGCCGCTGGAGTTACTTATCTTCTCGACCTGCTGGCAAGCAGACAGAGAGAGTACGAAGTGTGCACACACAGTCGGGGCGCACAAATGAAAGGCACCAAGCGCCCATGTTCGACGTGTCCCCAAAAGTGGTGGTAAGTCTACAGCTCATGTCTTTGTTTCCCCTTGCAGAACCTATTTTCGACAAAGATGTCAAACCTGCGTACTGCAGACTTTCTAGTATCCATTCCGACTGTAGTGTGCTAAGTGCCCTGCTGAAGGGAACACACTGGGTTAGCTGTTGCTGCGCATTTGAAAAGTCACCTTGACAATTAATTCTACATAGAAACATGGAAACCCTGAGTGATTGTCTGCACTGCTTCTTAACCTTGATGTTAGAATGTGCCCCACTTTTTGGAGGCGTCTCTTCCCGTACTTGCTGCTCAACCCGATTGTTAGTTCCTGGATTTGCAAGATACTAGGAATTTTAACGTGTCAGATAAATTGGTCACAAACGTGTTTTGCAGACCGCGAAGAAGGCAGCAAAAGAAGTGAACACTGAAGACACTAGTCACCAGAGAATTGCAAATGGGGGGGCCAAAAAGGTTGCTCGTGCCCCACTTGCCCCTAGGAGTGGGGAAAAAACTGCGCCAAATGCGAACGGAAGAAAGCGCAGCACATCACCTTTTGCCAAGCTGGGGCCCCTGTTAGGGGAGGAGGCAAAGTTAGAAAACTCTGAGGGGACGGCAAAGAGGGCATACGGGCGTGGTCAAGGGGCGAAGGCACCGGAGCAAAGTACAGGGGAGCAGCATGAAAGGAGCGGACAAATGAAGGGTGGCAAACTAAGCGGAAAGCAGGATCTTGGTTACAGGACAGATTCTGATGCGGTGGCTGAGAAGCTTGGAGGGGCCTCTCAAAAAGAGAGCCAAGCCTCTTCAGCGGAATGGGAGAGGGGGGCTAGCAGCGGCCCAATGGACGGGGTCCCGTCCTCGTCTGGGCGCTCAGCTGAATTTGTAGGTCGAAAAGCGCACCTCCGTAAAGCAGTCAGCAATGCGGAGCCAGCCATAGGCATGCCTTTTGAGCCAAAAAACGACTTTTTGCAAGCAGAAAGGGATAAAGTTATCGAAAGCAGTGTTTGTAGAAAAGCTACATCTCAGCGGGGGGCCCCACTGGGGCCGAGGAGCATCGAACTGCGTTCCGACGACCCTGAAAGCGGGTCAGTGACGTCAGCGGATGATGAGGAGTCGGACCCCCTAGACTGGTTTGACGTTGGAAGCCTGAGTGACTCCGAGACGCCAGACGAAGATATTCCCTTCTCCCCCCCTCCTAAGAAGCTCGGGTCTCCACCCCCCTCCAGCGAAATTATCGCAGATCTCGATCCCGATGCCCCAATCCTCCAGCCCCAGCGACAACAGCCCCCTCCACGTCAGCGCCTCGTCAGCCCCGCTCGACAGACCGCTGACGTCAGCGCCCGCCGGGGGGCGACACGTGTTGCCACCTCCCGCATCCTTGAAGCCTCGGACTTTGCCGAGAGGACATCGGTGGACCTTCTTCATTGGGGCGGGGATGCTGACGTGGCACCAGCGGTGCCGATTTACAGTAAGCAGCGGGGGGGAGAAAGGGGGGCGCAGCGACCCCCCTGGAAGCGCGAACGGCACAAGGCGAAGACGCATGAGGATCATCGAAGGAGGGCGCTAGAAAGGAAGAGCCAGCTGGCATTGGCGGGGCTGCCGCTGCATCTAGAGGCGGACGACAATGAAGAGGATCTGGAATTGGTGAGAGCACGCGTTTGTTTAAAAAGTTGGCAATTGCTTTGATGATTCTCCAATTCCCTGCATTCTACCTTCACGCGGTTACACCCTCACGTAACGTCTTCAAACATCAGCGAAACAGCTCCGTTGCTTACTTCACTGGTTTGTCCTGTTGTTGAGACGCAGCAACTGACCTCTCAATTATACTCCGTTCTTCTTCTTTTTTGGAAGCCCATGTCCGGAAGACGACTGAACGCCAGAACTGCATCTTCATCATATGATGGTTCCCAAAATTGCGCTGCTTCTCTCTGGATATCCTGCATTCAATCTCGATCGAAGCCCAGCTTCCGTCCGACGAACCACGTACCAACTAGACGTCAACTTTCACAGACTCTGCTCTGCAAATAAACCTGCACCTAAGGAAGAACTCAAATTGCAGGAAACCGAGGCGAAAGCCGAGCCGAAGAGCGAGCCCCAGAGCTACTCCGGCAGGCGGTGTGAGGTGTGCCGGCGGCTCAAGAAAGGCGGGTGCGGGACGGCCCATGCGCGGCCGGGGTGCTTGAAGCGACTGCTCCTCTTCCCCCAGGTAAGAACCAAGTATGAATCTTTGACTCCTCTTATAACTCGCGTTTGGGTCAAGTATGACCCCTCGATTTCTACTAGAGATCACCCTTCTGTTTCTGCGTGTCAGTGCTTTCCCTACTTGAAAGACTCCCTTCCTAGTGTTTTGCTTCTGGTCCCAAGCATTGTTAGCAGCGTATGAGCGCAGAAGCTGGGGGCCCGCTTCTGACCGTTGGGAAGGGAGGAAAGACTCTCCATGAACCGGAGAGGTTGCCGGAATCGATCTGTTTCACAGGCTTGGTCCGATTCAGTCTTTTGATACTGCTGACGGCCGACACTTTCTGTCTGCTCTTGAAACTTGAAGATCAGAGAACCGCTTGGCTGCGACGTTGCAAGCACTGCAATCAACGGGCCACAGCTTTTCGTTGATTGTGAACCGTAGTCAGCATCTCAAAGTCTCCACTTTCTAGGATGCTGCACTTTCGCATCACTCAAACAAAGATGCGGGACAGGGCTGACTTTCCAAGTGTATTGATCAAAGCAACCAGAACTGCGTCGGTGGCAAGGAGCAGATTATAGTCAATGGTCAGCTCGAGACTCTCATTTTTGGGTTTGATTCTACGTCGTGTGGGGGAAACAGTAAGTCAGATTCCGTGCGATGCCATGATCGATGCATCACTTCTGTGGCTATGTAGCACTCACCGCCTGGACAAAAAGCTTACAATTTTCTGTCGGGGAGAGCGACAATACCTCGTGAGATTACTGAAGCTCTTGCGTACGAATTTCAGGCCGAGGAAGAGGAGGTCGAAGCATCGACGTCGTTCTCTTTCGAAGACCAGGCCGCAGACGAAGTGTGGCGCTCGCTGGGGCTCCCTGGCGAGACCCGGCTGATGTGTCGCTACTTGCACAGGTAAGAGAGACACCGTTGGATTCATTCTTGGCCCAAAAGTGGATTGCGGCAGGTAATCAGATCGTTACTCGTTCCGTCCCTCCTCTCTGTGACTCATCGGAGCTACTCGATGAGAACCCTAGCATTTCTCGGCCCGTATGATTCCGCCGCAAAATATTGCAAGGCATTCAAGGTAGCACGCCGATTGCAAACGATGGCTCGACCTTTCTCCGGTTTGGATATGCAGCCAGAGCTTGGTCGGGCTGTCTTGCCGAGATCACTCGAACCCCACTGCAGAATTTTCTTCTCCGTGTTGTTTCGCAAAAGCGTGCAATCAGTTTCCCGTGCTGACGTCAGCTATTAGCTGACGACGTCAATTGTGTTCTTCCCGCATTCTGGGCCTTAATTGGGCCGGCTTAGCAAAAGCTACTCAGGAAGAATGCTAAGCGTCTCAGCCATTAAACCGCACGTGTCGACTTTCCTTTACTGACGCCAGCTGTTGCGTAATGACGTGCCTTCTGTCTCTGCTGCAGTTTGGGCCTTGACCGGGCCGATCTGGCGAAGCTACTCAACAAGACCGCCAGCACGTTTCGTCTGAGCGTCGCGCCAGTGAAAGCGCGCGTCGACTTTTTGAGGTCGATCGGGGTGGACGGAAACGGCATCCGTTCCTTGATCCTGCGACAGCCCAACGTGCTGCGATTGCGAGTCGACCGGGTCATGCAGCCAAGGATTGACTTCCTCAAGGTAGGCCCAAGCTTGTTGGAGTTCGCCGCTACTTTTGTTTCTCTCAGAGCGCGAGATTCTATATCCGTCAAGCGCACCACCTTCGTACGCTGACGTTAGCGAAGGGACAGGCACCGGCGCTCCAACGTCCGCAAACAGGACGAGCTGCGTGTGCTGATGCCAGCAAAGCGAACGAGCTGGAGCGTGTTGGCAACGAGGCCGGTGTGCTGACGTCAGCAAGTGCGCTTTCCTGCAGCGGCTGGGCGTGCCAGAGGACGGCATCGCAGACGTCATCATGAGGAACCCGTCGCTTCTGTATGTCAAAGAGGAGACACTGGACTCCAAAGTGAGGGGCGACCGCCAATTTTGCCATTAGCTGCGAAACCTGCAAAACCTGACCTGCCGACGGATGTATTATCTGCGCGATCCACGCATATTGAGGTCAAACAAGTGATTCTTGACCCATTTTTGGTGTTGGCGAATTGGGAGACCTCAATTGCTTGATCATCCAGTAGCTACATTGACCAGCTCATGTTCCAGGCGGTGTAGGTGTGGGGAAAGGCTGCCGGCTTAGTCAAAAGGGGATCTTTACGCTCTTGTATCTGCAAATTCAGATGCTCGTCTGAGTTTGCCTTTACCCCCCTTGAAAGGTTTACCTTGCATTGCAGAATGCAACGTCTTTTAAGAAGGCTACGACTTCCGCATGTCCATGTACATTCGTTGAAGACTTGCTATTGACGGCCAACCCTTGAGTATATATCAAGTAGCTAACCCTTGAGTAGGGGATACTTTTCGCATGTCCTTGACTGGTTCCAGATAATCGTCCCAATGGTGTTCTTTCACTCCAGATGTCCATTGGCAATCAGCCTTCGTACGTCATCCCCCAGCTCTCATTGTTATTTTGAGATGTCGCCTGCTTCGCAGAGGTCTAATTCCATTGTCCACAAACAAACCCAGTTCCAATCTTACTCAAGAAAAAAAACATCTCAATGAAACCTCATTACCTTGCTCTCAATTGGCAGCTCAACCCCTTTTCCCCTTTCCTTGACCCGCAGGTCAAGTTCTTGACGGAAACGATCGGCATACCGCAGTCTAAGGTGGTCGACATTGCGCGGCGTCACCCTCAAATTTTCGTGAAGAACATCGAGGCCGGGTTGCAACCGACAGTGGACTACTTCGTTAAGGAGGTAAAGACCATGCATGCTCCGCGAACCTACACTCAGCGTTGCTTTGACGGGTTTCTATCTGAGTGTCGGGCTCTAGATCTAGGGTTTGAGCGTTCTGAACCTTCGCTTATGCGCACAATTTCCCGCGTCCGCTTATGTGTCACGCATATGCCTGTCGCGGCGTTCTCAAAGCTGGGATCAGGTGCTGACGTCGCTTGGAATCCACAAACTTGTGATCGTGGCGACTCTTCCGGCTGCATACGAACCCCTGAAGTGCTGAAGCGTTGGGAGTCCCAGCACGCCTTTTGACCGGCACCTGCATCCCGTAGGCCGCCACTTCCCGTTGTTCGAGGGTCCCATATCAGCGATCAAGAAGTACTTCCAACTCCGAATTGTAGATTTCTCTTGAGCTGGGCGTGACGTTGATGTTACGAACCGCAGATTCATAAGATGCTTCATTCTTCCCCGTTCAGGTAGGCGTTTCCCGAGACGCATTTGCGAAAATGGTGTCGCACCACCCGCAACTGCTGCACTACAGTCTGGCCGACGGCATCAAGCCGCGGATTGAGTTCCTTCGAAGCATCGGGCTCACTCCGGAAGATACTCTCATCTGCATCACCCGCTTTGCTCAGGTGGGCTGTCGCCAATGTTTTAGCGCATCAATAAACGTTATCTGGGCTTGCGAATCCGGTGATGTCCTCTTCGCTCTCCTTAGCCTCCTATGACGGTCGCCGGCATACGTCCTCTGGCCGCAAATGTCGCTTCTGATCGCCCTTCTCACAGATTTGCGTACGTTTCGCACCAGCGCCTGACCCATTGCTGACCCATCTCTAATCTGCTGCAAACCCGTCGCTGATTCGTCTTGCTAACCCGTTGCTGACAATCTGCTTACCCCATTTTGTCTCTGCCCCTGTCTCCAGGTTCTGTCGCTCTCGGTCGACACGTGCCTCCGGCCAAAGTACGAATACCTAGTCACCCACTTGGGGGGATCCCCAGAGACCATAGTCAAATTCCCGGCCTACTTCAGCCTCTCTTTAAATCTGCGCATAATTCCCCGGTATAAGTTTCTGAGAGAGCTGGCCCCCGGAGAGCCCTTCCCGACCTCCCTTTTCATGCGATTCCTCCGCTTGAAGGAAGACCAGTTCGTTTCGGCGGTGGGCATGACTGCGCGCAAGCAGGGGCTGAGACAAGTAACGGTCAGCGAGCAACATAGACCTCGTTTAGCTTTGACAGGTGGGCACGATGATTCAAATGAGTCAAATGGTAAAGGAAGGAGAATCAGAAGAGAGGGCGAGGTACAGAAGCAGGAAGGTGGTTCTTTTGAGTTAAGTGTAGCAGAGCCAAAGGAGGCAATCGCAGCGGCGACGGCCTTTCAACCCATAGGATTAGAAGGGATGCCGGGTCGCTTCCGGCGTAATCCCCGGCAGTAGCTTAGTTTCTTGGGTAACGCGCGCGGGTACAAAGGTAAATAGGCATAATTGAATGGCTTTTGCTTCGGCGCCCAGCCTCGGGGGCTGCGGACAATTGAGCAGGGCTTGCAGACAACGAAATTTCGAATGGTCGCGTGCGCCATGATCGGAAGATCATATCCAACCACTTCTCTCACTAGGTGCATGCAAGGTCAACTTGTAACGCATGGCATCCCTCTGCTCAGTCACCAATTTGAAAGTACCCAGCTCTTGCAATGACGGCAGTGGCATTGAGCAGACTCTGGCCGGCGCAGTCTTTCGACTAGCTTGCGCAACCCTGATCGATCAGATTGATTAACAGTTTTTCTTGATCCATAGCGTTGTTAAAGAAGGTCGCGACCCCGCCCCTAACTCGGAGGCCGCAGAAGCTATCACAGCCAGATTGGAAAGTCGATTCGTTTGCAGGATAAGGTGGTTTTGACCGTGGATATTCGTATCGACGGTGCGCAGAACCTCAGCCAAATGGTGGAGTTCCGATGGTGTCAATCGGGCCCCATGTGTACGGAAACTCAACTCCAACGTACCGATCGAACCGCCGCACGCAAAATATATGTTAGATATTGGACACGCGGCGCGCGGTGAACTTGCCCACTTGTACATCCATGTCAGAAAATTCGACATGCTCGTACGGTCGACCGAATTTTGCGTACAAGCCTCTACGGTCACTGTCGACTCAGTTTCGGTTGCACTCGGCTAATATTTGCGCGCCTGCCTGAAGAGGATACACCATTTCAAACTCGGCGTTGATGTCACCTAGGTATCACCTACTCCAGTCGAATGTTCCGAACTTGGGCAACACAGCCAGGCCCGGTCGAAACAGCGCGGTGGCTTGGACCGGGCAATTACATCAACTCACATACAGTCTCGCAAAAATGCCCGGTGGTCTAGCCGGTAGCTACATTAGCTCTCGGCCTAAAAAGTTGAGGGCCGAGCCGCCCCTAACACCAAGGTTCCGACCTCAGACAGGTGGCGGTCTCTGAGTGGACCTTATCCTGCAAACGAATCTTGCCAAAATGCCCCGACCACTTCTCCATCAAGCAACCGGGCTGAGTTAGGGGCGGGGTTGAAAGCCTCTTCAACAACGCTATGATCGACGTTTAAAGGCGGGTCGAATTTAATTCCCGGGTTCCGGTCCTACCCCCTTTTGGGTGGGTCGGTCGGTCGGGAGAAAATAATAGTTGGTTTTTTGCTAGTATGTTTGAAATATGAAATAATATGGGGTATTTTTTGGGGGAAAATTTCGTTTCTTGGCCCAGATCTTATAGACTCTCAATATTTTCAACCCAAAATAGGAAAATCTGGGACAAAATATCCACTATATTTATTATTTTTTTCCAAAATCCTTCGGATTTTGGGTCGGTCGGGGACCGGAAACCGGGATTTAACTTCGAGTTGCGAGTTCGACTTAGCATAAGTACGTATGTTCGACTTAGCATACGTACACGAAAGGCTGAGCTGCACTAGATTAAATCAAGACCCGATTCAATCACATCTTCTTAGCTGGCCGCGCATGCCGCAATCTGACATTAGTATAATGATTGAGCGGCGCTAGCTTGCAGTATTTGGTACTAACTTAGGTTGCACCAGGACTACGCGCCTGGAGCTTAATCATTAGTACAGTGCAATGGACGGTTCACTGAGCCTGGTTGCTCACATTGACAATTGAGTACGGTACGAAGATCACCATGCTAGGCGGGTGAGGATTGCAACGAATAATCGATCCGCTAAATTATTCATTCAGCTCAAGATTTTCAAAATGATGCTAATCCTGGAGTCCCCGCAATTATACACAAAATACATTGACGTACGTACGTGTTACTTCTGGCCGAATTCAATCACCGTCCAACAAGATTGAAGCTAGATATCATTAGTATGCACATATGTAGTGCATATGATCTGCATGGTAAATTCCTGTTCTTGCTACCGGCCATGAGTCCGTAAACATGGCAGTCGGACTCAATGATCGACGTATATATACTGAGTGCATGCATGTACACCGTCCGGCTGCGAGAAAACGTCACGTGACCGTACAATCGAGCTGGGAGAAAATCGTCATACGTGACTTACGCGCGGACAGTGCCAGCCGAGCAGAATAGCTTCTTCATTGAAAGGCGTCGGACCACTAAAAAATGAAGCACTATCTAGTATCTTATTTCTTATTGAGCGAGTCAAAGCTATATTGCATAGTTCTCAAATGAGCTTATGCGCTCCGCCCGTTTTAATCATCTGAGTCAATTACCTTCAAGGGTGGCTGCCCGGCCAAATACTTTTGCGCAGATTGGTGAGTGCCACCCGGCTAGTCCTCTGTACGGCCCGGCTATTCCAATCATTCAACCTCTTCACGATAGTCAAAACCTGGGCTTACTATTGTCCTGTTGTCAGGCTAAATAAAAACTTCATTATGCTCGGACCTTTGTGTCTGTCAGACCTTTTGAGATATCCACCCACTTTTTATCGACGCCTACAACCTCTTTTTGATCACCTGTATATGTTACACCTTACTACCGCTTTAAGACTCTAATCCGATCATTCTGCTTGCTCTGGTTTATTTTGGGCTGTTCGTGGCAACTATCGATTTGATGGCCGCAACAAGCTCTTTTTGCTGGATGGGCTTTGCAAGGTACGAGTCCATTCCCACAGCCAAGCACTTATCTCTGTCCGAGGCCATGGCATGTGCCGTCAGCGCAATGATCGGCGTGTATTTTCCCGTGCCTTCCTCGGCTTGCCGAATGGCCCGCGTCGCTTCGTATCCGTCCATAACAGGCATCTGCACGATTTTTGTTTTCTCAAAATCACCTTTTATCTTTGGGAAAGAATGAAATGTACATTGAGCGCAGACTTTACCGGCTAACGTAGCACTCACAGCAGATTGCACGTGGCCTGGAAGGCTATGTTGCGTCGAAATGAGAAAGATCCTGACGCAAGCTGGCCAGCTCTACGAGTCAATCTGGCAGAGAAACTTAGCTGTATCCGTCAAAACCTCGCCTTTCTCTAGCTCTTCAATCTCTTCTCTCTCCAGCTCTAAAAGGGGAGGGCGTTCGACAGGTCTAAAAACTCAATCCGGTCGAAGGGCCGACTCGGCGTACTCTCGGCTGGCCCAGAACTTCTGCCTATCCGTATACTACGATCTTTTCCATTTTCATGACCTTTTGCCAGGATTGTCACCTGATGCAAACACCAGACCCAACTTCTTCCTCCCAAAAGATAGCGCACCTAGCATTCGCAAAGAGTATCCAAGCGCACAAAAAAGTCCAATCCCAACGTTAAGAAGTGTACCTGGCAGTCCATCAGGACGACGTCGAACGGCCGCTCGACGCTTAGTCCGTCCGTTCCGCCGTGCGAAACCCGTTCCGCCGCGCAGTTTGCTCCAGCGACCGCGTCGGACGCCTGTTGGCCGTCTCCCACGGCGTGCACGCTGGCGCCCAACTTTGACAGGGTTTTCACCGCAAGTTTCTGCCGGACGGACGGAGGTTTTGGGGTGTAATACTTGTTTCAAGTTTGTGACTGCAGCGTGATAACAACATTTTGAGGGGTCCTTCTGAGGTACGAACAAGCTGCTTGAAATGCGATTCTTGGCTTGAAGATAATCAAAGCATCAAAACGTGGTGCATAAATTGTTGAAGTGACCCAGGAGCGCTTAGGTATCAGCGGTGCACACAACGGCCGAAACTCTTGGGATGGAACACGGCCGTCAGAGATGTATGAGTACAAGTCAAAGACGGTCGGCATTGAGCAAGTGAGAGGGCAATATAAATGGGAAAAGTCATAATATAAGCTAGACGCCCTATCAAGAGGCCGAGCAACATTCGTAGACTCCGGAAGAACGTTCCGTTTGCAAGGAATTCCCGTTCCTATCCATCAGATGAGGCAAAGCGACTTGGTTTTTTGCACGCATCCAAAGAGAGTGCTGATGAACTAGTGGTCCTTCAAACCAGACTTTACTTGCGTAGACCCCGACAAAACTTTGCGCTATGTCCGGTTAAGCAAACCCACCTGCAGGATCGGCGTGTCCTCCGCTACCAGTATCCGCAGACCCGCCAACGGCAGCTTCGGAGACCCGCCTTCGTTCGACTGCTGCTCACCAACTCCTCTCGGCGCTCTAGTTCTATCTATTACTGAAATGTCTGGTTCATTCCTAACCGTCGATTGACTGCTGATCGGTGCAGCTGTTGCGCGCCCCGAACCTGATCTCGAGGCCATTGATATACCTGGTGCGGAACCTGTTGCCTGCTCTAACGTCACCGTTGACGTCACTGGTGACGAAAGCGCGGCCCGGCAAGTGGCTGCGGGCTGGCTTTCGTGAAGCGCGCGGTCGAGAGATCTAATTATTTGATCTGCGTTATCGTTCCTTCCAACCGCGGGCTCCGTTCCTGGAGACTTTATTTGGTGCGCTGCGCTCTTTTCGCTGGAGACTAAATTCTCTACTTTATTCGGTTCCGTCTTTTTGCCGGACGTCCAAGCTTGGGCCGCGTGTGACGTCAATGGTTCGGACGTACGGAATCCGCCCCCATCGAGTTTGACAACCTGTTTGGTTGCCGGAGATTGGGTCCCCGCTGACGTGAGCTGGTTGGAAGGCCTCGCGGGAGACACGTCTGACGCTACATGTTCACAGGTCTGAAGGCCGCAAGCTGCTGACGTCATCTCGGACGTCAGGAGCTCGCCACCATGTGATGTCATGGCGAGGAGAAGTTCGGACAGCCGAGAGGCGTACAGCGGCTTGTTGGCCACGGGTGAGGACGCCTTGAGCATCTGCGCAGAGGGCGAGAAAACGCTGATCTGATTGTGCCACGTGGCAGCCGTCCAAACGTGAGTGGCGGCTTATCTCATTCAGCTGACAGGGTATGGAAGAAATTGACAAGAAATACAGTTCAAGAGCGACGAGGAAAGAAGGATAGGGTGCGCTGAAGACGTAGAAGAGAGCGGCTCCTGCTTGAAAAACGTTCGGTATGAGAGGCTTCAGTTTTGCAACGTTTCAACAGCGACTGTCAAAACTTCAGAGAGCGCGCCGTTGTAGCGGTGAGTTTTCATCTCACCCTGCTAGGTCTGCGACGGCAGCCTGTGGACTTTGATGTTTTCCAAATTGTATTGATGCCTGGGTTAATGCGTGTCGGCGGAAATACAAAGCCTTTTCTGCCAAGGAAAACATACCAAGGCGCTGCTGTAAATGCCACCTGCATTGATGCCTCTGTCGAATGGAAGACCAGATCTTCTTGCAGACATCGAGCAGATAAGAACTGAAAGAAGGGACCCAGAATTTCAAGGAAAATGTTTAAGGACCTGTGGACAGAAAGAAAGTGGCCAAGTGTAAACTGTGAAGACAAAGTTACTCTGGAGGAGACGGAACCGATCTACAGGGAATTTCAAAGGTTTAGAGTGGTCTTCACTTCTTAAGCTTCTGAGATGCGCATCAGGGTTACGTGAGCCTTTGGAGAGGCTATGAAGGGGTCCCGTTGACAACACAGTACTCAACGGCCAAAGTCGTCCAACGTTGAAAAGAGTCTCACAAGCCCGATGCCTGATATAAGACGCAGAAAAATAGGAGTCTTCACTACTGGTTCTGGGTCTACAGGTTGATGGCTGCGTTGACACTGCAAGTACCCCGCAACAAGAATAAAACCGAGTAAAGAATCCTGAGAGCAGATTCAAAGCAAACGGCTCACCTGTCGAACCGAGACTGGCGTATCACTTGACACCAGCCAGGCGACCACCGCTCGAGGCTGTATCCGCTCTAGTTGGCGCAAGCACTCCCCCAGCTCTTTAGGGCCAGCAGGGCTCGGGACAGTGCTGACGTCGATGATGACCAGCGTCGGGCACGTGCCTGCAGAGTGCCACGTCAGCTGAGATGAACAGCCCACAAGGACAAGCGCACTGCGGAAGTTTTTGGACGCTAAAATGGCGTCCTCTGAGCAAGAACCGTCAGTCACTGTTGAGACATGTTTCTATGCAGAGAACAAACCCAAAACAAGCCTTTCCTCCCGTTTCTCTTCGCTCCCCTAACTGCGACCACGAGTAAGCGGGAAGAGTTCCGTTAGAAACGCAAAGGGACTCAATTGAGAGCAGCTCCAACCATCAAAAGGAAAAGCATATGATTCGACATTCCTTTCGCTGGTCAAAGGTTCGCAGCAAACCTTTCGTTCACTTTTCGTCGTCAGAGCAACATTGTTTCGGCTCACCGTGTTCCGCACCGCCTTCGGGTCCTCCTTCCGCAGTCTCCATATCAATCACGATGTGTCCGCTCGCGCCAAGTTCGCACTCCGCACCGGCTGACGATATATGGCCGCCATACGAATCCTCTGGGCGGCTTGAATGTTTCAGACCGTTCTCAGCGTGCGCAGCCGCGACGCCAACTAAGTTCGAAATGTTGCCAGGGGCTATCAGCTGCTCAGCTTGAGGGATGACGTCAGCCCACGTGGTGGCGGTGCGGACGTCGAAGCCTTCCTTCCGCAAGTACCTGGTGTGGTGAGTGATGAGGTCAGGGGCTCAGAAGGATGTGCAGCCACGGATCACCGCGTTCAGCAAGAGCTAGCTCGTTGTCGGTGTCAAACGGAGGTATTATACTAGTCAAGCGAGCTTTGAACAGAGGGAAGTGGCAAAACTTAGTCACTGACTCGACTGGGCCCACACTTTAAACGGCGAGACACATGGCACGAGACACAACAGCACACGGTTGAAGAAAGATTGAAATACAATCCAGGTCCTGGATGCTCAAGCATGGAACGCTCGGTCCTTCCATAGTCCACCGTCGAGCCACTGTGTCTTTGTTTGCTGTCAATCAAAAGGTGGACGGGAAGACCAGAATGTTACTAGAAAACAAGAGCCAGCACGTTGGAGACTTTTGACGACTGATTTAGACCAAAACAAGTGCGGTTCAGGTTTTGTAAGCCAAAGAGCATGCGGTAGCGCATTATGTAACGAGAATTCAATGTGTCCTCCAGGTTGAATTCGTCTCCCTTTTCTGTATCAGGCAACCATTCACGGCATTGGGCGCCTAAGCTCTGGCACTTCTTGCCTCTTGATTGCTCACCCTCTCCTTTTGTTTGTGTATAGTAAGGGCGTTGAGCGCACGAATCTTGAAGCCACTTCTTACCTCTCTGCTATCCCCCGGCCGAGCGCTTCAGGCATCGCCAGCAGAACGTTGCCGCCCCTGCAGACCGGTTCGGTTGCGGACGCAATCGGACAGCTTTGTGCACCTTCGGGCGCGCCCGCAGCGTCCGCACAGGTGGCCTCAAATGAGACCTGGAAGCGGATGAGGGTCCCGGGGCCATCCTTGTCCACGACGCTGATGTCACCCTCCATCATGTGGACTGCAAAAAGAGGGCTTATATTTGAGCATCTTAAACTTTACTCATTACGGGGATTGCGGTTGTTGCTTAGGAGGAGATACCGATCAGTCACGAAGTAACGGGGCTAGCCTTGTGCGTGATGCTGATGTCACCTCCATCAGGGTGAACTGCAGAGAGTAGGCTCAGCATCTGAGCGTCCTCTAGACTTATTTGGAGATGGTGCTTTGTGATTCGGAGGAGATATTGAACCGCGAAGGAGCTACGGAGGCTCGCTTTGTTGAGGAGGCTAACGTCACATCCTTCGAAGGCTTTGCAGTACGGATGATTTCGATCTTAGCAGTATGGATGATTTCAACTTTACCAGCACTGGCATCCGAGAGTCTGTTGTGCCTCGCCATCCAAACTTTGATGGTCAATTGGAAAGCAGCGGATGGTGGTAGCAGGCAGCAAACGCTCTAACGTGGACTTTAAGACGGCGACAAACAAGAGACAGAGGATGCGGCACAACTAGAGGAGCGTCAAACTTTCTCGGACATAAAACTTGAGTGCAACTTCGTGTCTTGCCGGACTGAAGTAGCTAGAATGTTGCTATTTGTGATCATCTTCGCACTCGGAGTGCCCCTTTATGCGGTTTGAGAAACTGTCACTTGAAATGACAAGAAGCAATGGACGGACTCGGTAGTTCTCATAGTTACCAACCGAAACGGGCTCCATGTAAAGCGCGCAGAAAACAACTACGGTGGTTGGAAGATTGCCGCAAGGGTATTAAAAATAATACTAAGACTTGAATGGCTTGTCCAGCAGATGTGCCTCACCTAGCGACCGCACAATGGCCAACCCTAGCCCAGTGCCCCCATGCAGTCGCGTTGTGGACGAATCTGCATTAACGATACTCGATGGATCAGGCTTTCCTATAGACGAATGAGATCGACTTGCAACTCGGCAGCCAACAAACTTTCCACCTTTTCAGATTCCATCCGCCTATCTAGTTTCGACACATTCTCACGCATATACTGTTTGGGCGCCAAAGTCGCACTCCCTGCGAAATCGTTTAAACTAGAGCAGCGGCGGTGCTTTACCGCTCTGCTATAGACATAGCTCCACTTTCGCATCATCGATGGCGTCATACCCAACCCGGTAAGGGAGGAAATGACGTCAACCCATGACGTGTGCCCACCTGCTTGCGCAAAGTTCTCAAAGACCATTTCCCGCTTCTCAGGAGGGATCCCGATTCCGTCGTCCTCGACCTCGAAAGTGTACCACAGCCTAGTTGCTTGCTTTCTTTCAAAAGCTCCGGAAGTGGACGGTGAAGACCGTTCGGACCCCTTGAGCGGTGAGGACCGTTCGAACGCTTTGGACGGTTGGGACCGTTCGGACGGTATAAGCGGTGGGGACCGTTCGGACGGTCTGGACGGTGGGGATCGTTCGGACGCTTCGGACGGTTCCTTTGCCCGGAAGGAAAAGCGGGGGGAGAAGAGGCTGCCGCTTTCGCGAGAGCTGCGGACGGCGTCAGCGGCATCCGATGCGGACGTGCGGAGCGATCCGGAGGATGAATTAGGCGAAGCCCTGCAGGCGGGAAGGGTCCAGAGCCTCAGGCAATTGGGCGTCAAACCAATGCGGTTGGATTGATCTGTACTAACTAGGACTTTGTTCGCGATTCCTTTGTGAGGGTTTCCGGCGCGGCGGTGCTCAAGCCCGCCAGTGTGTTCTACTGTCGCCGCATGTCAAGTCTGCTATTTCGTCTATTCAATGGAGTTACTATTGAGGAACGACTGGAGTCGGGTCCATCATAGTCGTTTTGCAGCAAGGTAAAATGCGCAGGCGCAATTGCACCTTTTGCCAATTTCGGAAGGCACTCAAAGCAAGAAGACGGTATCCAGAAGGGATTGATACGCCCGGACTTGAATGAAAGAGGCGGTTATGTGGCGGGTCCTCTTCGATTTCACGAAGGAAGTGTTCGGACAGTTGTGATTAATCTGGTGCCACCGCCAGCGAGATGACTGCTAGCACTTCAAATACGATAGGCGAAACGAAACGCATCCGATAGTAGGTTGAAGCGCATTCCTCTGGCGCTCGATCGGCTTCAGACCCCGACCAATCACGTCGAATTCTACCCAATTGTTTGAGAATTTGAATATGGTTTCGTGGCTTCACCTGACCAACACATGCCCCCCAGGGGAGGAAAACTTGATGGCGTTGGACAGCAGGTTCACGACGATCTGGCGCAGGCGCGTCTGGTCGCCCTTGACAAGTCGGTTCATCTCCCCCGGTAGCTCCAGGCCAATTTCAATGCCCTGGGCGGTGCACTGGACGGCGAACATGTCGACCAGGGACTCGAGCTCGGCGACCAAGTCGAAGTCGGCGCTTTCGAGCTCAAGCTTGCCGGCCTCGATCTGCAGGCGAAAGCGTCGGGACATTTTGGGCCTGCACTCTTTTTGCAGAAAACAGCCGTGAGATACCGTGAAGCGTTCTCTTAATCGACACAAGCAGCACTAGCTTATCTCAGAGGCGGAAGAGAAGTCCGCGCTTCGGAACCTTAGGATCGCGGCGTCAATTCTTGGCCACATAAGAAGGACTGAAAGCTACGTTCTTTCAAATCCTCGAATTCTTAATCCACTTCAACGGGTGACGTACCGCTTTCTGACTGACTCGAAACACGATGCACACCAGAATTTGGAAGCATGATAGCTAGGTTAAATGAACAATTTGCCAAGGGGTGTAATGCTGGACGTCGATGCACGAATGTCAGTTGCAAGTGGAGTAAGCTGTGCGCTACATGGATTAATGAAATTTGACTGACACGTTATGGGTGCCAGCCGCCTTGAAAGCAATCAAAGAACGGAAGCGCAGTGCGTTCGTTGGCGTGACTCCTTACTTTGCCAAGGTCCAGCAGATTGTTTAGGAGCCCCAGCAGATACGTGGCACACTGTCGAATCTGGTCCACATTTGTCTGCACAGGGCGTTCCTTGCGTCAGCATACATTCAATCCAATAACGTGGAACTCAACGGCGAGTGCTCCAGTGAAGCTACATGCTGAACACCATAAGTACACAAACCCGAAAGCCCTAGTTTCCAGAAGCTGGTGGCTTTTCGGACATTTGGATTCCCACCACTTTCTCCACAGTCAGCAGGCCATGCCAGATGCCGGCCTTGGGCGTCTGCACGCGTCCGAGCCTACTGTTCACATTCCCTAGAAACACTCAATCTGAAACTCTTCAGATCCAAGTACCAATACGCTTTTGGACGCTTCGGACGCTCACCGCTTGCTCGGGCAGCATCTCGTCCGCTGACAGCAGGCGTAGCAGGCCGACGAGCCCAGCCATGGGCGTCCGCATGCGTCCGAGCCCACTGTCCAATTTTCCAAACAACACTCAAAACTGAAGCTCTTCTAGTGCCGGCAGGTATTGGACGCTTCGGACGCTCACCGCTTGTTCGGGCAGCATCTCGTCCGCGGACAGCAGGTCCAGCAGGCCCAGGATGCCGGCCATGGGCGTCCGCAGCTCGTGGGACACGTTGCTCAGAAACATGCTCTTGGCCTGCACGGAAGTTTGTGTGGTCAATAAAAGTCAGCTATTGCAGTAAACAACAAAGACAGGGGAACAAAAAGTTGAAATGACTCAGGGGATTTGGGTGGGTGCAGGTGCGGAGCGCATAAACCGCCGGTTCAGGTGTTTAGCCAGGTCGGAAGCTTCTCATTTCATGCACTGGCCTAATTGGGACGTAAGTGATTTACTCTTTTGGGCTGACCATTCTGACCAAAGCATCCAGGTAGTGCAGGCATCTATCAAAAAGCGATACCTCTTCGACCGTGATAGCCTTGGTTGAAGGCAGTTTTGGCCCTGCGGTTCTAAGATTCATGGTGTTTCGGTCTTGTCTATGGACGCCGAAACGGTATCTGATATGACCAACAATGCTGGAAAAACAAACGCGTTTACTGAAGAGGAAGACAAACGCAACCTCTTACCAAGAGTCACCACGACAGATCAAATGGTTCTGGTCCGTAGAGCAGTATTCGTGCCTTGCTTTGCGCGTCAAATGGAAGTCTGGCCTCCTTCATTTCCCTCAATCACGATCTCGTCCCACAAGACGACATATAACCATCAATATACCTTCCTTACGATTTCAGAACTTCAAGCTTACCTTGCTGTGTGCTTCTGCGCGCTGCTTGGCTTCTTCCAGTTCCGCTTTGAGCTTGACTTCAGTGGACACGCGTTTCGTGAAGAGGAACACAAGCACGCACCCGATCAAAAACGCCGCCGAAGATAGACAGCAGAGCATGATTGCGGTGACGCGGCTTCGGTTGTCGATGCTCCCCATGATGCTCTCCCTGCGCAAATAACAAATTTTCAGGTGATCATAGTGGGCGTCGGCATTGGATTGATGTCACCCGTTCTCGCCAAACGGCGTCAAGATGTTGACGGTCGAAAACTTCGACGGATATTCGACATGGGTCTCGTTACCATGGGACCTGAGAGATTTGCGGGTCCCACACTCACTCGCTGTACTTGCCTGGCAGTATGTTTCTTTGCCAAATGTACCATCAGATTCTAGCAGGGAGATCCCGTCTGGTTAAATCTCTTCTCGGCTCTTGATGCCGCCTCTCAGATTTTTGCAAGATGCCTCTGATGATCAAAGTACCACAGGGAAAGCCCGGCAATCTCGACAGGGGAGAAAAATGTCACCGAAAAGCGAAATCACCGTTCCATCGTCGGTAAAGCTCGTGTGCTGCTTTCAACGGGTTGCTAGCCACTTTATCCAAGGCTCGTGCAGCAATCACGCGCTAGCTACCGCTAAAAGTGACACTCTTCTCTCAAGGCAGGAGCGTCCGAGTACCAAAATGCATCGCCAAACCATCGGAAGCACGGCACTGAGGAAAGGACACCTTCTCAAGGTTCGAGTCTTCCACCAGAAAGCATTGCTTTAAAAACGACAGGTCTGAATATCATCTCAACTCCCAAGGCTCTCACTACACAGTCCTGCAGCCATGCGAACGACAGTATTGGAAGCCCTAGCCAGACCAGGAAGAAACAATAAGAGTGCAAGCCCTAAAGAAACAAGAAGCAAAAGCCAAGCTTGCCTGGGGATTGCGAGCACCGCCACCATTTGCAGATTGCCGTTCTCGATTGGCACCGTATCGACGTAGTATTTCTGCCCCTCGAGCTGCACGTCCCCCACCCGAATCGGACCGGAGAGCAGCCCGGGCATGCCAAATCTGTAGAGCAGATATGCATCTCAATGACGGGTCAAGTATGACCATTAATTTCTGGTCGGTTTATAATGTTAATCTTCGGTCCCTCGGGTTCCGCGCCCAATTGGATCAGCCCAGGCATGCCAGAAATTCAAGGCGGAAAAGTTGGTCACTAGAATCTCCGTTGCGATCATCCTGAGTCGGCAATGAAATGTTGTACTTCTGACGGGCCCGGAGATGCATCAAAGAGCAATCGGGACATGAATTCCTGACAGATTGACAATGATTTCAATGAAAGGGATTTATCATTAATGTCGTCCGCCGATCACGACAAACTTCTGATTGGCCCAAGCACTGCGGAATGCGCCCGGATGTGCAGAGGAAAAGTCTCACGCTTTGGCTCCCTGGGAAAGGGGGGAATTTGCGGAGAAGCAATAAAATTGGATTGATCTAAATGGTAAACGCGATGTCTCGGCATTCGTATCTGATTGGGCCGGTCAAGGTACCGACAACAGCTGCCGCGTTCCTGGCATACTATGCAAAGCTTTATATCTTCGGCAACGGAACACTTGCGGGCTTTCCCGCTTTCCTGAATGATTAATCGGAAAGGTGATCAAAAAGGACTAATGGACTTAACCCTCCGATCTCTTTCTTCCGACACCATACCAACTTACGAGGAAGGGCATCCCTCAATACCTGGCCTCGTTGAGAGGCCGACAGATGTCGCACTCACTCTTTCATCAGAAAGTGGTCAGTCGAACGGATGAGGGGGCACGTGGATTCAGTGGCACGTCTTAGGCGGCCGCCCAGTTCGTAATTGTTCAGAAAATCCTCCCGGGGTCCGGATGACGCAAGGAGGAAGCCGTCTGACGTCATGAAGAAAATCATGCCTGCAGTAAGATCGGTCAAATGCTCACAACAAGTGAGGCGGTGTCCGGTCAAATTGCTGTCGGAAGTGAGGAACGCCTGCTTTTCCAAAGATGGTCTTGAAGGGAAGAGGATGCCGTGAAAGGAAGCCGTCTGGCAGCATTTCAATAAGGTGGTTATCTGCTTGGAGCCTGGGACAATAAGCGGTCATCTTCGCGTCAGAAGTTCGTCGGACGACACGAAGAGATTGTTATGGGAGGACAGATAACTGTAAAGAGTGGAGGCGAAAAGGAACATCCCGGTGGGGAGAGGACGTTGCATTGGAAAACCGACAGATATTTGCCGTTTATCGCTTCAGATTTCAGTCAGACACAGGTACGCCAACAACGGGGCCAACTAAAAGGGCAACGTCACGCGAAGAGGGGGGTGCAAAGATGTATCCAGACGCGAGAGTCACCTCCTCGCATGTCCCACATGTTGGTCACGAAGTTGCTGACGGAACCAAGCTGCTGGATGACAATCTTCACTCCGAGGAAGTCTCCGGTCCCATCTCTCAGGGGCGTAGAAGCCGACAGGACCGGGAAGCTTCGGGCGGAGTAGTAAAGGCTCCAATGCACCTGACCGGTAGACAAGTTCTGGGCTCCGAGGTAGTAGTCCCGTTGACGGGGGTCGAGGTCGGTGGTCAAAACCCCGACCGGGCCGATGCGGTTGCCGTACGCATCGAGCGACACGTTGTAGATCGTCGGTGTCTCCTCCGGTGAGTAGCTGCAGGAGCAGAAAGGTGGATGGAAACCACGCCCAAAAGAGAAAAAATGCTCTGGCAACGGAAGATGCAAAAGAAGGGAAAATGCGACGGATCTCATTCGAAGGAAAGAGCGGAGGGATGTCTGAAAAGAATTGGATGGATGTAAGCACCCGTGCTACGAGCGGCCTGGATGTACGGTCAGAAAATGAAGAGACCGTGACTCAGACGCCCGTTCAAGTCTTGTCTAGTGGCTTTAAGAGGCCCCACTAGGGACTTGTTAAACCTTCCGAGAGAAAGTCTACTTGATTAGGCGCCCTGCGGCATGGCATTTCCAAAGTCTACGAATCCAGATTCAATCGGCCGAGTTTCAACCGAGCTCTGACCAAGCTTTTCTCACCAATGCATTCTGGCATGTGCTTCCCTACCTGATATTCACAAACGACTCTTGAGGAGGTTGACCCGGATTCAGCGACTGGAAATAGGCCGAGGCAAGGACGGTGGAGCTGGTAAAAGCGTAGTTTCGGTTAGCGACAACACCCCAGACCTCGCGGCGCATCTGTAAGCACCGGAGAAATGATTGAGGGCGCAGGAATTGCAAGGCCAGTCTGGAAGTCGGAAAGCCTGTATGGAGGCGGCTTATGAAGAATTGGGTTTCTTGGGACGTGAGCTCCAATTGGTCGGATAATTAACCCCTTCCCTTGCTTTCACCGTTTCCAGCAGTTGTACTTTGTACAACAGACAGTTATTGAGCACGGGATGGCTGCAAAGGGCAAGGAGTGCTCTGTGTCGTTCAGAATAGGAATGTCTGAATGCAGGACGTCTTGAAAATTGGTCACCAAAAAGCACAGAAAGTTTAATGGGGCAGTCCACGTACAACGAGGCTCGATAGACTGTCAAAAGGCCAGCTTCCTTAAATACTAACTTTCCTCCTGTACAATCATTTTGGACCCCTTGGGAAACACCCTGCGCACATACTGACGAATTCTGTTGCCGACGGAATTCGATTCAGCCAATCTCATACACAGCATTTTTCACAATTTCCTCTGACAAAGTCCATAAGCGTCCTGTTCACGCTGAAGGAATGAACCAACATAAATGATAAAGGAGGACAGCATCTGGAACCTGTGTCTGCTGCTTTGAAACGACAACTCTGGGATGGGGCCAACCACGAGCACTGGAGGTTTTCTAAAGTGCATCTGGTGAATGATTCAAGTGGCTGCTTACATCGCTCCCCAAAACCTCCCCAGTCAGCTGATGCTGATACATCGCCGCATTGACCGTGACGTTCAGTGCCGACTGCTGGTCTGACAGGATGCGGGTCATGTGAACCACTGACCCGTTTAAAATATTGTGCCTGCAAGGGAATACCAGAAGACCAACTGGTACATTAGTGCCCTCGTTCGCGCACCTCGTCGGGACCTTCCCACCAGGGCCAGACGACATTACACAGGGGCAAATAGCAGTGCTTGTAGGGGTGTCAATACTAGGATCATACTTCCTTGCGCCAGACTGGTTGAAAGGTAGCCTTAGCCTTGCTCTGATTCATTGCAAGAGATCAGCAATCAGAATGGCGCCAAAAAGAAGAGTCTCTCCTAGCAGTTCAACATGGTGCAGAAGCCAAGGGCTGAGGGCAGAGGCCGTTACCTTCTGCACACCGTGAACACTTGAGTCTCCAGTTCAGGAAGCGGCCTATTGAATCTCTCATTGGAATGCACAGGGCGCGTCCAAGTATGACATGCTGCAACATCTTTTTCGCAGCCAGGGAACATCTCTTAAAGTGAGCAGGGCATAGGAATGGAGCATCCTCTGTCATCAGCAATGGTTTCGCCTTGCAAGCTCATACCCATGTGTGATGAGTGTGTATGTTTGTTCATTATACTGCTAGCAGAATTGACCTGCAGCGTGGAAAACTGCCGTACCTTAGGGAGTCTCCCAGGCTGTTTGCTGCCTGCTTCGTGCTCTGCGACGTCCAGAACCATGTGAAGATACTCAGGAGGGTGACTGTCACCGCGAAGAGTGTCTGCACAGGAGGACAGCGGTCTGAGCAGGATACACTTTGCCTTGCAGAGTTGTTTGAGCGGCACACACCATTGGTGGTTTGGTCAGGTCTGCTTTTGCTGTGGCTGCAAACTGACATTCAGGCTGTCAAGGATGCAAGCAAGCTTAGATTTGTCCTCAGACAGAACCTAGTTCGAGAGAGCCCCAGAAGCAACCAAGTGGACATTCAAACTCTTGCCTACTGACACAGGAAGAGACACGGGCGGCAGGGAGGAGGAGCTGCAGGGCCAACTAAATGCAAGTTCTTACTTCAGCATCATCTGTTTCTGTCCATATGTTACCCTCGATTGTCCATCCTTTGCTTTCAGCATAATAGAAACTGAGCATCTCAAGCTCCCGGCCTGTGACTACATAGCTTGCCTGGTTGCTTTTGTCCTCACCATGATTGCCAGCCTTGTAATGAGCACGGTGTATCTCGGTGGCCGCCTCTTGGACTCCCCCCCTTCCTCAGTTGCTGATTTCCCCCCCCCAGTTGAGAAGCCGAGCCCCTCATCTTCAGCGCCTGTCTCCAATTCTGCAACCCCTCGAAGCTTGGCATTGCCGTGCTTCATCTTCGTGCTAACGGATGCAGCTAGAGTGAAGCTAGCGAAGGGGTTCCAGCTAAGGGACTGAAAAGGGTAGTGAGCTGGAGCCTAATCACAATTCAGGGCTCACTGATGGCTGCGATATGAAGGCATAACAGTTTGTTGACTTCCTCCTTGTGAAGCAATGAGAATGCTAGATGAACAGATCATCTTCCTCGATTTTCTCACCGGTCCGTGTTTTCCAATCCAATACAACATCGTTGTGTTTCATTCAACGCCAGGTTTTCTTGAGCTGCTTGTGTGCAGCTACCATGCAAATATCACTTTTCGAGCCCCTCAACATCACCATTCCTGTGCAATACTACGCTGCTGTCCGGCAACCCAAGAGAACAAAGCAACTCCATTGCCACCAATTGTAGCCACTCCTCTCCACCACGGTGATGAGTAGTCCGCTCTGCCGACCAACAAGCTAGACCGTCAAAGTAGACATGTCCGGCATATCTCTTTCCTCAACAAGATGTCAATATCATATTGAATATGGGCTTCTTCTTCGCCATCCATTGATGATCCAACACTTTCCAACGTTGCCAAAAAAGGAGTCGTTTGTCTTTTCCCAATGTGGATTCGTGAACCCCTCAACCCCCTAGCATCGGCTGCATAGCTCCCCCAACCGCCATGGCCCATTGATTTCGGGTATCAGATATTCGCAAAGGCAGACAAGTTGCAATGCCGCCATGAGTTGTAGATTCTCAGTGCGCGCCTGCGCGCTGAGAATCGCGGTTCTCTTGGCGCGAACCGCGTCTGAAATTTGCAATTTCCCGCGCCGCGCCGCGGCCGCGTCGCCGCGCAGCGGCGTATAAAGAGCAGCGTTCTGCTCTTTCTTCTTCATTCTGCTTCTCTCGTGACTGCTACGAACGTTCTCGTACTCCGCTTTAAACCGCCCGTTCGTGTTTCTGCTGTTTCCCCATTTTCTCTGCAGTATGACGTCATCGCGCGCTCCTGAGATCAACTCTGCGCTACAGCCGCCCGCGTCGCCCTCTCCTCGCCGCCGGTCCCAAATTCGAGTACCTTTTCCCTACCGGCCCATGACGTGGCTCCACGCTGAGCGGACCCGATCCGGCGGAGGGTTTTTAACGGCCTCACCCGGCGGCGGCGAGAGGACCGATTCTAATTTGGACGTAGCTTGTAGCGTAGAGTTGATCTCAGGAGTGCGTGTTAGTATCGTTTTCTGCACATACTTTTAGTTAGTCCGTAGCGGCCCGTTGATGTTGGATAGGCCCACGATT